TGGGGTGCCTGCTTTCAGAGCCAACATTTTCATTTCAAGAAATCCAACACACCAAGTCTCTGAGCACATGCAGAGTCCTTTTTCTAACCGGAAAAAAAGTATGTTTTTCAATAAGGGGTTGCTAGCTGGCCTGGGGAAACATGACCTGTCCCTTTAATAGAGGCTTAATATGTGGAAACGGGTAGCTGAAGCTTTTCATGGCATGGCGGTGAAGAACATCCTATTCAGCTTCTATCAAAGGGACAGGATATTTTTCTGTGTTCCAGGTTCATAAGTGTGGCTCGGAGCATGTGCATAATGTCTTTACTTAGTGACACTCTGGCTTTGTAGTTCCAGTTTGGAAACAGCAGCTGGTCTCCTTGGTTGCGTACATATATGTGCTTATGTTTCTAAAAACAGAGCCACCCCCAACAGTACCTTAGTGTACCTATGCATGCTGTGACAGTGGACACATACATGTATGAATACTAGTGGAAAAAAACACCAACACACATATTTTGCATGCGTTGACTCCTAGACACCTGTGACAATCATGTGCATGGGCTGCCATGCATGTAGGATGACTCAATGCAAAAGCAGACCATCTCTCTGGAGGAGGAGGAGGAGGAAGAAGAAGAAGAGTTTATTTTTATACTCCACTTTTCTCTATCCTAAGGAGTCTCAAGGCAGCTTACAATCACCTTCCTTTGCTCACCTTGTGAGGTAGGTGGGGCTTAGAGAGTTCTGAGAGAACTGTGAGTGACCCAAGACCACCCAGCCTGTGGGGGGGAAAAATCAACCCCAGTTCTCCAGATCAGAGTCCCCCTCTCAACCACTACACCACTCTGGCTTCTGAGAAAGCCCTGTCGGGTGCACACATTTTGCCATGCTGTGTCTGTAGATGCCACTTGCAGAATGTTGCTATAATAACACTTGCCACTCGTCGACGGGGATGTTCCCGTCTCCGTCACCCAGGCACTAGAGATGGGTTCGAAAGGTGCCCCGAACGGGGGCAACCCCGCCGCGGCGGCGAGGCCCCTGTCAAACAAACTGTCTCTCGAGGGGCCCCTGTCAGCAAGTAAGTCTCTGCCATTGAGTCTGGGCTGAATTAGCTCCAACTGTAGCCCTGCCCAGACCTGTGCCTCGGACCCTGGGGTGTCAGGAACAGGTGCGTCAATGAGGACTTCGGGAGAGTTCCCCCCACAGCACCGGTTGCCAGTGTCGTCAAAGTCACCGGTACTGATGCCGTGGTCTTGGGGGGTTCCTTGTCCCCTTCATTCGGTTCAGCGGGAATTGGTTTCCCCTCTCCGTCACTCATCTCGGGTTGAGAGAGGTGCTGAGTTAGGGAATGAAGGATTCCTAACAGAATGTCAGGATCCACAGCAAGACAATGAAGTACACACTTCCAGGAAGGTTTTACTTTTATTGAAAAGCCATAGATGCAGTAACATGAACATTGTTAGGAATGGCGGGCTACCTGTGTGCATAATAGGATATAGGGCATTCGTATGCGCCCCCCCCCCCCGTAATACCCAATGACGTAGACTCACGCGTGGGGGTGTTTGGCGTATTCTCTAACGGCCACGAAGCTGGGAACGAAAGAAGCTCCCACGAAACCTAGACACCACCAACCTCTCCAGTAACCTTGACAGATAAGCATTACAGCTTTGAAGCAATTAAGCGCATGGGAAGGAATGCAAAGCAATTAGATACCGACACCACACTCATGGCTTCAGCTGACACTAGGGAAGGAACCTTGTCTGCTCTGGCGTCTGGGTGATATGGTGCAGTGGGGATGGGAGGGTACCAGGTGGTGGGGTCTGGAGACAGCGGCCTCCAGTGACACTCCCTGTTGAGCCATTGCACTGGATTAGGTAGGCCTCCCAACAGCATTGAGCTCCCCCTATCTTTGTCTCCCTCCAGCCCACACTGAACCTGCTTCTTGCGACCTACTGACAGGGGAGAAGCAAAATGTCAGCCAAATCAATGAGCTGAAATCAATCAAATCTTCTGATGCTACAGCACAGGGTAGGTACTGCCGGACTCGAATCTAGCACGGAATAGGGCACTGATGCCTGCAGGAATCTGGTCTGGTGCCTACCATTCTGGCTCTTAAGCACCACGGTGAGACATTTTGATTGGCCCAGCCTTTTTGTTGGAGTTGCCCCCTTTTCATCATTTTATTTGTCCATCTTAAGAGTTTATAATCTGTTTTATTGGCTGCCTCTCTCGGGTAGCTGGGCGCAATGAGCACGTGCCATCCAGATCAAGGACCGTGTGTGTGTGTGTGTGTGTGTGTGTGTGTGTGTGTGTGTGTGTGTGTGGAAGTGGCAGAGTTAAAGACAGGTAGCGCTACTTCCCCATTAGGCACGCGCCTCGTTTTCCATCTGTCTAATAGGTGGAGGCAAATCTCACCCCCACAAACACGTTCCTGCATGAGGTGGGCTGTGGAACGCTGCTGTTGAAAGGGCTCTTGCCAGGGCTGGTTCCAGGTTTGGGGGGGGGCTGTGCAGAGAGTTCCCAGGGTACCCCCATCCTCTGCCCATCACCAGGCCCCCTGCTCCTGCCCTCCTTCTCTCCTTCCCACCCGTATGCCTCCCACCTGCTTGCCCATTCTTCATCTGCTCACAAGCTGTCCCACTGCCCATGCCCACGGCTGCCTGTAGCCCTTTTCCCAGTCGCACTGGGCAGTGCTTGCAGCTGGGCACATGGGTGGTGGAACTAGCAAGTGCGTGTGCAGGGAACATCAGCAACGGTGGGCCCTGCCAGAGTCAGTGGGCCCTGGCTGGCAGCTGCCCCACCTCAGGACATGCTGACACTGGCTCTGACTCTTAGCCAATTTGGTGTAGTGGTTAGGAGCATGGGCTCTAATCTGGGAGAACAGGGTTTGATTCCCCACTCCTCCACATGCAGCTGCTGGTGTGACCTTGGGTCAGTCACAAGTGCTTTCAGAGCTGTTCTCTCACAAGCAGTTCTTGAAAGAGCTCTCTCAGCCCCACCTACCTCACAGGGTGTCTGTTGTGGGAAGAGGAAGGAGATTGTAAGCCACTCTGAGGTTGCAGTTACACACACTGAATAATCCACTTTCAGTTCACTTTCTAACTGGATTTTGCCAGTTCACACAGTAAAATCCAGTTGGAAAGTACACTGAAAGTGGATTATTTAGAGTGTCTACAACCTGAGACTCCTTCAGGTAGTGAAGGGTGGGGTATAAATCCAATCTCCTCCTCCTCCTCCTCTTCTTCTCTTGCTCACCACAATGGATCTTTCCTTGCAGTGTGCAACCGTAGGATAGCACTGGATCTATCTTACTCTCAGTTGACATGTGGCAACAGGAAGGCTGAAATCCTGCGGGAAATGGATGTGTGACACATAGAGCCTATCCCAGAAGGTCTGTGACATGTGTGGGTTCTGCAGCAGAGAAAACAAGGTGGGGAAAGGTTCCCTAAAGATAGAAAGTTTGAAAGCCTCTGTCTTACTGCACATAATTTGACACATCACAGCAGATAATCGAAAACACACAACAGTGTGGTATGCCAAGACCATTGTGCATGACAATGGATATAAACAACCAGGTTACCACAGGCTGAAGCAAGGGAGAACAGAGCCAACAGAGCAAACTGTTTTTTCTTCTGCATGCACCACACACTGAAAAGGTTGAGAGAACTGTCCCTTGCCAGAATATCAAGCCTGGTGTGTGCATGTGCGCCCTGGAGTGAAAAAGGGGGTGTGGTCTGAAGAGGATGTGTTCCACCACTGTTGCAAAAATACTCAATAATTTAAATATTATTTCCCAGGACTCCTTAATCTTTTCCTAATACTCATCAAGAGAACATAGGAGCCAGGTTCTTCGAGCGTGAAAAGGACTGATCACTGATAAAAGTCAGTGCAGCTGTACCAGTCTACTGTGTTTGGGTGTTAGTGACTTGAAAACCAATCAGCCCACTACGACACAGGGAACAAAAACTGTCCTTCAGTTCACCCTCATGTTGTGCCTGCTTCCTTGTACTTTGTCAGAGACTACCATTATGCTCCCCTGCCAGTTTGGGGGAGGCATGGAACAACCCTCCTTCGGCCCCTAGGTAAATCTAGGGATTTGGCACTGAAGAGATGATGGTAGGTTTACGTTGAGATCAAAGCCTACCTCTGAATTGCTTCTCTGCATTTTTAAGAGGGTACAAACCCAGAAGGGGGGGGGCTTTCAGTGGAACAAACAGAAGAGCAAAGGGTGTGGATGTCCAACATTTTAAAACCAGATTGCCTGAAAAGACAACTAGGGGAGGGAAGTGATACAGCTCAGAAAAGCATACATTTGCTTGATATTATCATGGGGCTCCTGGGGTATCCCCACCCAAAGCAACCCATATATATCACAAGTGGGGGAAGAAAATTCACTGGGCCACTGAGTTCAACCTTCCCAGATTATCTGGGTTGGAGGAAATCTCACAATCTATTTCAATGAATGGTGTTAATTAGTTAAGGGGGTGGATTACGTTTTTTTTTTATTCCAAAGGGGCACTCCTCAGTCCAGAGATTCATACAACTGGAGTACACAAGGGTGTGCCTTGTTACCTAGCTACCCACTATCCTTTTAACACAGACACAACATTTCTGCATCCTTGGGTGAGACATGCTCTCATCTGACAGTTCATACAACAAGTGATGGGTCCTGAGGTAAAAGCTGTCTTTTTAAATCAGGGGATGCTTCAGTCTTCCTTACATACCCATTCTACATATATTTAATAGAAGAAAGCCTTGCTTTTAAAAATGTGATTTGTTTTCAAAAACATCCTTAAAACCACAGGCTTTAAAAACAAAAGCTAACCCACCCTCAACACACTTCTATATTGATATCACCTGCATGCACATGATTTGTGCATTTCTGGTATGGCTTGGTAGTAAGAACCCTGGAGTAAGCATCATCATGTGAACGTGCCGCGACCGAGAGCTTGCAGCCTTCCCACAAAACTCTGGTTTTCCTACCTCCTTTGTGGGCGAAGTTAAAAATAAATGAAACTTACCAGGCTTTGCGTGGCACAGGAGGACTTCCTCTATTGATCTACTAGAGATGTGATTTCATTTCTTCCCCTGCGTCTCACTCTGTTTTCCAACTTGAATCTATGCAGATTAGCAGCTCTTCCACACACCCTCCCCACCTCCAGGTTACTGTCTGTGTCTGTCTTGGCTTTGAAAACTGTGTGTGCATTTTTTGTCAAAGGACTCTCTCTTTTTTTTAACGTGTGTGTGTGTGTGTGTGTGTGGTTGCGTCAGGGCTGTTGCCTGGATACCACAGGACTATTCCAGTTCGAGCTTTTCAGTCCAGAATTTCTGTCTCCCTCTCTCATTCATGCCAGCCAGCCCTGGATGCTACCTCCCACTAAGACATAACCCTGAAGAGACCTGAAAGAGAAGATTTCAAGGGAGGCTGGGTCCTAAACACTGCCACATTTTGCTGGCCTGCCACCACCAAAATTTCTGCTTTGGAAAAGGAAGATTGTCCATCGGGGTCTGTCTGGGATTATGCTGATTACAGAGCCTGCTTTACAGAGGACTCTTTACACAGCCTATTTAAACAACCATCAAGCTTTTACAAAATATCCATGTACGGTAGGCGCTGCAGAGTGGAAAGCTAGTTGGGTGTGGCCACAACACCCCTCACACTTGATGGCTGTGTGCCACGAGGCCCTTTGCTTTACTTCTTTTTTTCTTTTTTTGTCAAACTGGAATATATACGATATCCTCACAGGGGTGAATGCATGTCACTCACATGCATGCTGCAAAGGGACAGCTCAGCCTCTCTCCCAGTGGCCTGTGGGAGCAGGTCCCAAAGGCACGGGTGCCACATACACTTTGCTGGCTGCTGTGTGCAGTTCATGTGGGGAATGGACGGGGAGGGTGATCTGAGGGGTGTGTGTCTGGTCAGGCATTGGGGGGGGGGCAGTGGAGTATGGGTCCCACAACCCCCCACAACAGTGCTGGAATCTGATAAGCTGTGTAACTTGGCAGTGCTAGAACAAGGGACCCACAGTGGATGCAAGGGAGCTGCTGCCATGGATTGCGGAAGGGTTGTGGAGTGGCGTACCTGCCAAAATGATGGTCCTCCAGGGCAGCCCATCAGCCGGGCTGTCCCATTCCCCTGTCTTTGCTGCCAGTCAGGTGCTTGTTGGTGAAGGTGGTAGGAGGCCTATCCATAGGGTTGCCAGGTTTGGCTCGAGAAATACCTGGAGATTTGGGGGGTGGAGCCTGGGGGAGATGGGGTTTGGGGAGGGGAGGGACCTCAGCAGGGTATAATGCCATAGCATCCACCCTCCAAATAGGCCATTTTCTCCAGGGGAACTGATCTCTATCATCTGGAGATCAGTTGTAATCCGAGGAGATCTTAGGGCTGCCAGCCTCCAGGTGGGGCCTGGGGATCTTCTGCTTTTACAACTGATCTCCAGCTGGCAGAGATCAGCTCCCCTGGAGAAAATGGCTGCTTTGAAGGGTGGACTCTGTGGCATTGTACCATGCAGAGGCCCCTCCCCTCCCCAAACCCCGCCCTCTCCTGGATCCGCCCCCAAAGTCTCCAGGTATTTTCCAACCCAGACCTGGCAACCCTAGGAGATCTCAAGCCACCATCTAGAGGTTGGCAAACCTACCTGTCCATCACATGGGTGCCCTTTCCCTCAGGCCACGTGTCACTTTTGGGAGTTGCCTGTTGCTGGGTCTTACCTCCCTGTCCACTGGTTCTTCAAGGAGGAGGAGGAGGGATGATGTAGAGGGAAAGTGGCCTGATCAGTGGGCAGCAATTGGTTGTGCTTGTGTGTGCCACTCACCGGGGCTTCATCAGCTGCTGTTTTGTCTGATTGATGGTTGTAGCCAGAATTGCTATGGATGCTGGCACACTTGCTGTGCCATCTGTGCCTTGCGGAGGGGTGCATGTTGTTATTTCCCCCTGTGGAATGCACACAGGGAATGGACCAGGGGCTCTGATTTAGCATTGGCAGCTGGCTGCTACCATTGCAGCAGCCCTTGGGATTGCGCTGCCAGCCTAGAAGCAGTCTTCTGGGGTCTCCAGCAGGGAAAGGCAGCCAGTATTCGCCTGTACCCCCTCATGGATCACTGCCTTGTCGTGGCGAGGGGGCTTGAGCAGTTCGATGAAGCTGTGGGCTATGCCGTGAAGGGCCACCCAAGACGGACAGGCCACAGCAGAGAACTCAGACCAAGCGTGATCCACTGGAGAAGGAAATGGCAACCCACTCCAGTATCTTTGCCAAGAAAACCCCATGGACAGTAACAAAAGGCTAAAAGATATGACGCCGGAAGATGAGCCCCTCAGGTCAGAAGGTGTCCAACATGCTACTGAGGAAGAGCAGAGGGCAAGTACAAGTAACCCCAGAAAGAGTGAAGCGGCTGGGCCAAAGCCGAAAGGACACTCAGTTGTGGATGTGTCTGATGGTGAAAGGAAAGTCCAATGCTGCAAAGAACAATACTGCATAGGAACATGGAATGTAAGATCTATGAATCAAGGTAAGCTTGACGTGGTCAAAAATGAGATGGCAAGACTGAACATCGATATCTTAGGAATCAGTGAACTAAAGTGGACAGGAATGGGCGAATTTAACTCAGAAGACCATTATATCTACTACTGTGGCCAGGAATCTCGTAGAAAAAATGGTGTGGCCTTTATAGTCAACAAGAGAGTGCAAAAGTCAGTACTGGGATACAATCTCAAAAATGACAGAATGATTTCGGTCCGATTCCAAGGCAAACCATTCAACATCACAGTAATCCAAGTCTATGCCCCAACCACTGATGCAGAAGAGGCTGAAGTGGACCGGTTCTATGAAGACCTACAACACCTCCTAGAACTAACACCAAAAAATGATGTCCTCATCATCATAGGGGACTGGAATGCTAAAGTAGGAAGTCAAAAGGTAACCGGAATAACAGACAAGTTTGGCCTTGGAAAGCAAAATGAAGCAGGGCAAAGGTTAACAGAGTTTTGTCAAGAGAACACACTGGTCATAGCGAACACCCTTTTCCAACAACCTAAGAGGCGACTCTACACATGGACATCACCAGATGGGCAACACCGAAATCAGATTGACTATATAATTTGCAGTCAAAGATGGAGAAGCTCTATCCAGTCAGTAAAAACAAGACCTGGAGCTGACTGTGGTTCAGATCATGAGCTACTCATTGCAAAATTCAGACTTAAACTGAAGAAAATTGGGAAAACCACGAGGCCATTCAGGTTTGACCTAGATCGCATCCCTGATGAATATACAGTAGAGGTGAAGAATAGATTCAAGGGTCTGGATTTGATAGATAGAGTGCCTGAAGAACTATGGACAGAGGTTCGTGACATCGTACAGGAGGCAGCAATCACCACCATCCCAAAGAAAAAGAAATGTAAGAAAGCAAAGTGGCTTTCTGATGAGGCTTTACAAATAGCAGAGGAAAGAAGGAAAGCGAAAGGCAAAGGCGAAAAGGAAAGATTTACCCAACTGAACGCAGATTTCCAGAGAACAGCAAGGAGAGATAAGGAGGCCTTCCTGAATGAACAGTGCAAAGTAATAGAAGAAAACAATAGAATGGGAAGGACTAGAGATCTCTTCAAGAAAATTGGAGAAATCAAGGGAGCGTTCCATGCAAAGCTGGCCATGATAAAGGACAAAAACGGTAGGGACCTAACAGAAGCAGAAGAGATTAGGAAAAGATGGCAAGAATACACAGAAGAACTATACAAGAAAGACCTCGATGTCCTTGACAACCACGACGGTATAATCACTGACCTCGAGCCAGACATCCTGGAATGTGAAGTTAAATGGGCCTTAGAAAGCATTGCTAACAACAAAGCTAGTGGAGGTGATGGTATTCCAGCTGAACTATTCAAAGTCTTAGAAGATGATGCTGTTAAAGTGCTGCACTCCATTTGCCAGCAAATTTGGAAAACGCAACAGTGGCCACAGGATTGGAAAAGGTCAGTATACATTCCAATCCCAAAGAAGGGCAATGCCAAGGAATGTTCAAACTATCGCACAATTGCACTCATATCACACGCTAGCAAGGTCATGCTCAAGATCCTACAAGCTAGGCTTCAACAGTACGTGGATAGAGAACTGCCAGAAGTACAAGCTGGGTTTCGAAGAGGTAGAGGAACTAGAGATCAAATTGCCAACATTCGCTGGATTATGGAGAAAGCAAGAGAGTACCAGAAAAATATCTACTTCTGCTTCATTGACTATGCTAAAGCTTTTGACTGTGTGGATCACAACAAACTATGGCAGGTCCTTAAAGAGATGGGAGTACCAGACCACCTCACATGTCTCTTGAGAAACCTGTATAAGGGCCAAGAAGCGACAGTTAGAACCGGATATGGAACAACTGATTGGTTCAGCATAGGAAAAGGAGTACGACAAGGATGTATATTGTCACCTTGCTTATTTAATATATATGCAGAGTACATCATGCGAAATGCTGGCCTGGATGAATCACAAGCGGGAATTAAGATTGCTGGGGAAAAGATCAACAACCTCAGATATGCAGACGATACCACTCTAATGGCAGAAAGTGAAGAGGACCTAAAGAGCCTCTTGCTCAGAGTAAAAGAGGAGAGTGCAAAAGTGGGCTTGAAGCTCAACATCAAAAAAACTAAGATCATGGCATCCGGCCCCATCACTCCTTGGCAAATAGAAGGGGAAGTCGTGGAAGTGGTGACAGACTTCACGTTCCTGGGATCCCAGATCACCGTAGACTGTGACAGCAGCCATGAAATTAAAAGACGCCTGCTCCTTGGGAGGAAAGCGATGGCGAACCTAAACAGCATGATAAAAAGCAGAGACATCACCCTGCCAACAAAAGTCCGCATGGTCAAAGCAATGGTATTCCCAGTAGTCATGTATGGCTGCGAGAGTTGGACTATAAGGAAGGCCGAGCGCCGAAGAATAGATTCTTTTGAACTATGGTGCTGGAGAAGACTCTTGAGAGTCCCTTGGACTGCAAAAAGATCAAATCAGTCAATCCTAAAAGAAATCAACCCTGACTGTTCCCTGGAAGGCCAGATAATGAAACTGAAGCTCAAATACTTTGGCCAC